CTGTCTTGTGCTGGAGCATGGAATCACTTGAGACAGTGTGCCTACATTTGCATACATTTATGCAACTACAATACTACATGAATAATTTTTTTCTGTAAGATTGCAGGGGTTAATTATATTTGCCCATATATGTATTTATAACAGTCAATAATCATAGTTCACAAATATACAACTTTATATCTTAACATCTTTCTTTCTTTCAAATAGAACAATCTCTGAAATGATTTTTTTTTTGGAGTAAAATAATTGATATAATTTAGTACTTCAGTATTCCAATCGTGAAATATACTACTTACAAATTTGTCTAAATCTTTGATTATTCTGAAAGTAGATGTTGTTCATGATTATATGAATGCTTGCCCAAGACTTGTCCAACATAGCAACAACTAATGTATGCATGAAGATGTCATCCATAGAGATGTAATTCGTATTGAGTGGCAATGATGAGCATATTGTGAAGTCATTTCTTTAACTTCATCTATATTCTTGATATTTTGATATTTTCTACACATCAAACCTTTTACTTTTACTAACAATGGATGATTTAGAGACAGTACAACTGCCTCTGAAAAGAACCGGTGCACTCTAAGAACTCTACCAATGCTTGACAGTTCTGAGTCAAGCAATAATTTCCTGATTGGCTTGTTTATTCATTGAAAGATGAATCCATTTGACCGAGATGAGATGAGATGGATACCATCCCCCTTCTAAGAAAGATGCCGTCAGAATCAATGGAGAATGACCCATTCTAGGAGTGAGTCATAATCTAATATGTATGCCTCAAATCATTTCATACCGGTATAACCATGTCAAGGGTACGGACCGTTTGCATAATTTAGCATAAGGGGGCACGATTGTAAATAGGTCGGTCAATCTTTTTTATTTGATTTAGTAATTATTTTGTAATTACATTTTACTTATTTTGGAGGTTTTTTTTATACAGTTAACATTCATTTTCTGTAAGGTTTTCATGATCATTTAGTCTGGGAAGTATTTTCCTCAAGAACGTTGTAGTCAGATATTTCAGATCATAGTGCACATTGGAATATCGACCTGACAACAACCATTATTTTAGCCTACATGCGATTAACCCGTTTTCAGAAAAATGAATGATTTAACCTTTGTGCGATCAGTTTCCACCCATCTAAATGAAATTCCCAATAGGAGTGTTACGTAATCAAATTAAGCATTTAGCCAAGTTCATTTCCTCAGCCGTCAGCGGTCAAACCGCTTCCAGAGAGAGAGAGAATCGATCTTGAGAAAGGGGATTCCCGCAGGACCGATGTAATTACCTAGGATTATAAATAACTGTATCTGCTACTCCATACTTGAGAGCGTTAAACACAAGTGGGTAAGAGTTAATGAATTGATGTAATAGAGCTGTAGGATATAGCCTAATCATGACAGGTTCAGACTCTAGTGAGAGTTGAACTATACCATACTTATTGGATACAGTAGTTCATTAAAAGTTGAACAGGTTCCTGCGAATATGGGCTTGCAATATTTATGTATTTCTAGTCACTGGTAGAGATTGGGAGGGTGAGGGCAGGGCACTTCTGACCCATGCTCCCTCCTTTGGAACCCAAGCGACATACCTCCAGTACACTACTTCAAGGTAGTGCCTCCTCCCCTTTTGGGATGACTATTTTGTTGCTTTTCTGAACAATTTTAGGATTTTGTGCCCCCTCTTTTACAAGATCCTAGATCCACTCCTTCCTCTGTTTGCCCTTGTTTTAAAGGCCCACTGCACTACTTGTAGCTACTTGCGCCCTCTATATAACAAACAATGCCTAATCGGTGACCATTGGTCCCATAATCCACTTTTTCTTGTGTTAAAGGTAAAGACGAGTTCTGGTCATGCGATTGCATTGTGAAAGAAACGTTGTGGAATCGATCAGAAAAGGTTGATCATCTAGCATCCAGCATCTGCAAGGTTCTGGAATCATCAAAATGATTAGAAATTTGGCCCATTCTTCGTAAAGTTACAAGCACTATACACAGAAAGATGTATATAGGACTACCCTATATCTCTCACAGACCATGAGAGAAACAAATTTACCAAATATATGAATTAGTAGGCGGTTTCCCGGCAAATTTTTTATCATCATGTATTAGTCAAAACATATTCTTTCACATGATTGGTAATGAGAGCTTCCATTTCATTTTTGAAATTGGGGCGTTTCCAATACTGGTCTTTACCTTTAAGCTATTTTTAGCATTAGAATTGACAGAATTTTCTTTTCAGACTTGTCCATTGATAGTTCTTAGGTTCTATATGAATTTTTTTTTTAAATCTTGAAAAAAGGATTCCCTGCTTTATCTTTATCAGTCTTTCATATTAAAGCTTTCAACATTCACATCGTACTCTTGTGTGGTAATTTTAGTAATGCTGATCTGTTTTCTTTCATGTTAATGTTTATTTATGAGTAAACCCCTGTCAGTCATGACGATTCAAAGTTTGGTTGTTTTCTTTCCTTCTCTCGTAATCACTTTTGTCTCACCTTCCTGCTTCATCACCTGTTACATTACTCTTTCTTCAAGGCCAATACCTGTATTCTTTCCTTGTCAAAGAATGACCAATTTTACTGTTCCGGATTTGGACCCTATTCACACTCATGAAATAACAGCGTACTATTAAACTTGTCTTTTTGAATGTCTGAATGAAAATTGTCTTTTAGGAGCGTTCTCATTGCTAGTGAGAAAGTGGAAGTCAAACTTGATCAGCGGGATGGAAGTCTAAAGGAAAGCTTTTCCGAGGAATATTTATTTTAAATACATTGACAGAAAGACCGCATCTCAGCTGCCATATACATAGTAAGGAGTCAAATTGAAAAAATATACTTTGAGGTACCATTGACTTTTTTTTTTAATACTGGGGGGGGGGGGGCTGTGGTAAATTGTCTATTCAAAGCACTTGGGATATTAAAGGATAGTACTGTAGCTCATAAATTTAAATAATGATAGATCTGTATTTCTGTAGTAAATAATAATTAAGGCTGTGCACAACAGTGTAATGAGGTACCCGAGTACACTCCCATGCTTACAAGCGAATACTCGAGTATTCGGACGCCATGTTTTTTTTGAATTTTTTTGAATTTTTTAAAATTTATTTATTTATTTATTTATTTATTTATTTTTTTTGCCACCACCATACATACGACTGGAGCAGTATCCCAGTTCTGTCGCCGAAAACGCATGCAATTTTACTTCGAGTTGCAGTTGAAGGCGCCGATTTAATAATAATAATAACAGTGAACAATGCTATTTTAAAAACCAAAGATGGCAGAATAATCCATTTTCCTCCAAGTCCAAGCAGAAATCCAGACATTTGGTCCCAGTTTCTGAGTGGTGAGTTTGACAGTGCTTGAGTTGGGAAACATTTTTACTGACGGCACCATGCCAGCGGCCGCCGCTCACCCAGGCACGGGTAAGCGTCGGCCTGGACATTTAAAAAAAAATAAATAAAAAATAAATAAATTTTGCGGCCGAATATTCGGGTACGAGAAATCGTACCCGAGTAGGTGTCAACCGTGCGGGTACTCAAGCATTCGACTACCCTTCACAGCCTTAATAATAATGCACTAAAAAAAGAAACTATTCATGAAAAAGAGGCATATTTATGGGAAGAAAATTTGTTGTTGTTGAATCATTCCATAATTATTCCATAGTTATTTTTCCATGGCTGGATAGAATAAATTGCATTTTTTCAAATTCTTTTCATATTAAAAAATAAGTAACATGTAAGTTCATTAGTAGAGCATTAGTGCCAACAGATAACATATACCGGGTATAAAGATATTGCTATGGGGTAGATGGGACCAAGGCTTTAAAAGCGAATGTGAATAGGGTATTAGACACATCATGCACCTGCCCAGGCTCCATAATCTTCAGAGAGGTCAGTTTAGTTAAAACAGGTTCTTTCTATAATTAATCCACATTAAACTCATCAAAAGAAACAATAGATGACAAAGGTCACAACTGTATGACCAACACGAGGCCCTGAGCTCTCTAGAATTATGCCTGATGCCCGGAGCCCCCTGTTGCAACATGCCTAGCTGTGCCTGTGGAGCCACAGTGGTAAAGGGAAAGCTATCTGGAACAGGCACAACTCTATTTTTCTGTCAAAAGTTTGGTAGATATTTCCACCTTTTGAGGCCTGTTTTCAGATTTAGCTGCGACCTGTTGTTTGAATTGATTTGATTTATATTTAGGCACATGAACTTTCCATCTAATACATATTTTCAACTGATTTTTTTAGACTTTTTAAAACCAATAATGTGAATGGCTCTTGTTTAACATGCAATGTGGTTTACAGATCTTGTTTATACCACAACCCTGTCAACCCTGTTTAGCAAGCATATTTTCAACTCAATTAGAACTTAAAAGGGTTAATCAGGTTATTTTTTTTTTCTTCATGTGTATGGAGTTTTTAGAAAGCATCAAATTGACAACAAATATTGAAATCTTGCTAAATAATATATATCGTCTGTTTGGAGCCAGAAGTGTCACAACTCTGTATTCAAGTATAGAAGTTAACAACCTTCTGGCTCTTAAATCCCCACTGCACTACTGTTATAGCTACTTGCGCCCTCTATACAGCCAACAATGCCTAAGCGGTACCCGTTGATCCCCCATGATCCCCTTTTTCTTATGTTAAGTGAGAGCTGATTTGATGAGATGACCACCTGTCAGTGACCTTGCAGGGTGGTCTAATCTCTTGATGGGCTTTAAAATGTAAGATGCCAGCAGGAATTAGGATATTTTTTTGGAGAAAAAAGAAATCATGAAAGTAAAAAAATGAAAATTAAAAAATTAATTATTGGTTAACTTTTAGTGTATGGACTGCTCTGTGAGGTCAGAGCGGAACCGAAGGGGTGATCTTCTGCTCTTCACCTTCACCTTGTTTGGTTTGGTTAACTTGCCCTAGAGATGTTATTGAGTCATTAGCAACAGAGGTTTATTCATAGTTTCCTGTCATCTTCTCTTTCCCTTTCGTCCAGGGCTAGGTGAGATCCCTAAACCACAGAGCAGCTGTCACCAGGTGCTGCCTTGTCAACCAACAACAGTTCAGCCGAGAAAAGCCTCTGTGACCAGCCGTGAAAAATCTCATTTCGTAATCTTGTCTAGCAAGGATATCGTCGATGGATCAGCGCTGAATGCAAGTCACGCGCGACTGTTCTGAGAGGAAGAGGAATTTATTTGGATCAAAGCAATGATTGCTGAATTTTGATTTAGAATTGTTGGAGTCAGTGTGTTGTTTGTGAGATTGATAGACGACAATCATGCATAGAATGAACGGATCGCCTAAGATGGGGACAAGGGTGCAGTGTCCTGGAAGTCCAAAGCTTGTTAGGGAGCGGAGCAGGACTCCACCGAATCCAATGAAGGGACAACCCATGAGCAGCCCCAAGCTGGGCCGATCCACCAAGGCCCATAGTTTGGGCAATATCCATGCCAACCACGAACTGAGCATTGCAGAGCCTCCACCCCCTTTGCAACATGCATCATCAGGACCCATTCACATTAGCTCACACATTCATGCGCCGCGACCGCATAAAGCACCGATGGTAATGGACCCAAGTGAGACAATGCCACATCCATTAGATATCAAATTGATGTCAGGAGGCCCACCGAAGGCAGGTGATGTGACGCATGTTGGTGCTACTAGGATACACAGTCTAGGGTATGGTACAGGAAGTGAATGCAGCAGGAGCGGTACGCCACCTCATTGCTTTGACAATCCTATGGAAGACAAGGAAGAGATGAGGCTGAGAGAGTTGGAAGAGGCAAGGGCCAGAGCAGCCCAGATGGAGAAGACGATGCGTTGGTGGTCGGACTGTACCGCAAATTGGAGGGAGAAGTGGGGTAAGGTTCGTGCTGAGCGTAACAAAGCCAGAGAAGAAGTCCGGCAGCTTCGGCTCAAGCTGGAAGCAACCATGAAAGAAGCGATATCACTCAAGCGAGAGAAACATGGACTTCTGGTAGACAATGAGCAGTTACGCCTTAAGGTCAAGCAAGGCGGTGGTGCAGGAGACATTGAAGCCACGCCTATGGTCAATGGCAACCATTCCAATGATCTACCAGAGAGGGATGTTGGTGTGATGCAGCTTCCTCAGGAGTTAGCTCCGCAGCAGGGAGTGGACTTTGTCGCAGAGATTATGCAGTCGCAGGGTGGGCCATCACAGGAGGTGACCCTCTGCGATACCATGAGCCAGACTGATCTTCCAATCTGTAGACCCATGGAGATCCAGACGTCTCCTGGATGGGGTGCCGATGAGACAGCGAGCACCATCCTAGGGAACAGCTCCTTCATCCTGGGCAGTGGTCTCCATGACCTAACCTTGGAGAGCAGGAGAGGGAGCCAAGGCTCCTCGTCTCATGGCTCCAGGGATAGCCCAAGCAGGAGAGGCAAGACAAAAGAGATGCCATCACCGTCTGAAGAGAAGGCTGAACAGAGGGCTTTCATGCTACAGATGAAACTAGATGAGGCTTCCAAGACTATCCAGGTTGAGAGGCAGTAAGTAAAATCCACAGATTTCTATTTGACTTATCATCTTGTACACAGACTTTTATGTTCATACAATAAACCACACAGTCACAAGGTTTTTATCTCTGAAAGCATTTCAATTTCACAACCTTTTAATTGATTACTTAAATCTTAATATTTCGTATTTAACCGCATCAATTTAAATGTGAAGTTCATTGCAAGCTTGTAGATAATCTGAGGGAAAGGAATTTTATGTCTACAGGTAAGCAAATCATCAGGATATAAGATGTATGGAGGAGTCTATATTTTACAGATTAGTTCATTTGAAACAAGCAGTGTATTATTCTTTGATAATTATGCAAATTTCCTTTGAATATATTTATGGACACACTTTGAAATTTGGTAAGTACCTGTATGCCATATACATGTACATGTGAATGCCAAATTATTGTCATTTGTTGTGATAAGTATTGTTATAATCATCACCACTATCACCTTCATCTTTATCATTTTCATCATCATCCTCAAGATCATAATCATAATCATCATAATCATCATCATCATCATCATAATCATCATAATCATCACCATCATCATCATCATCATCATTGTCATCATCATCATCATCTTCATCATTATCATCACCATTATCATTATCACAATGGAATCTCTTTTGAGAAATTCTTTTGAATATTTTTTCCTCCATCAGAGAGAAGGACAGCCTTCATCAGTCCATTAACAAGTTAGAGCAAGAGGTCTCGTCTCTCAAGATAAGAACAGCAGATCTTCAAGAGGCAAAGGACGTCGCAGTCAGAGAGGTAAACGATCATACTAATCCATTCTTGTGTAGGGTGAATTGCAGTTTGGTCTACATGTACATCCAGTTAGTCTACTACCCAATTCGTCTAATCCCATATGGTTTATCCCCAGTTTGTCTACTACCCAATTCGTCTAATCCCATATGGTTTATCCCCAGTTAGTCTACTACCCAATTCGTCTAATCCCATATGGTTTATCCCAGTTAGTCTACTACCCAATTCGTCTAATCCCATATGGTTTGTCCCCAGTTAGTCTACCACCCAATTCGTCTAATCCCATATGGTTTATCCCCAGTTAGTCTACTACCCAATTCGTCTAATCCCATATGGTTTATCCCCAGTTAGTCTACTACCCAATTCGTCTAATCCCATATGGTTTATCCCCAGTTAGTCTACTACCCAATTCGTCTAATCCCATATGGTTTATCCCCAGTTTGTCTACTACCCAATTCGTCTAATCCCATATGGTTTATCCCCAGTTTGTCTACTACCCAATTCGTCTAATCCCATATGGTTTATCCCCAGTTTGTCTACTACCCAATTCGTCTAATCCCATATGGTTTATCCCCAGTTTGTCTACTACCCAATTCGTCTAATCCCATATGGTTTATCCCCAGTTTGTCTACTACCCAATTCGTCTAATCCCATATGGTTTATCCCCAGTTAGTCTACTACCCAATTCGTCTAATCCCATATGGTTTATCCCCAGTTTGTCTACTACCCAATTCGTCTAATCCCATATGGTTTATCCCCAGTTAGTCTACTACCCAATTCGTCTAATCCCATATGGTTTATCCCCAGTTTGTCTACTACCCAATTCGTCTAATCCCATATGGTTTATCCCCAGTTTGTCTACTACCCAATTCGTCTAATCCCATATGGTTTATCCCCAGTTAGTCTACTACCCAATTCGTCTAATCCCATATGGTTTATCCCCAGTTAGTCTACTACCCAATTCGTCTAATCCCATATGGTTTATCCCCAGTTAGTCTACTACCCAATTCGTCTAATCCCATATGGTTTATCCCCAGTTTGTCTACTACCCAATTCGTCTAATCCCATATGGTTTATCCCCAGTTTGTCTACTACCCAATTCGTCTAATCCCATATGGTTTATCCCTAGTTTGTCTACTACCCAATTCGTCTAATCCCATATGGTTTATCCCCAGTTTGTCTACTACCCAATTCGTCTAATCCCATATGGTTTATCCCCAGTTAGTCTACTACCCGATTCATCTAATCCCATATGGTTTATCCCAGTTTGTCTACTACCCAATTCGTCTAATCCCATATGGTTTATCCCCAGTTTGTCTACTACCCAATTCGTCTAATCCCATATGGTTTATCCCCAGTTTGTCTACTACCCAATTCGTCTAATCCCATATGGTTTATCCCCAGTTTGTCTACTACCAAAATAGTGGTTTCCCATATGGTCTACACCCAGCCTATCTCCGATCCACATGGTCTAGTAATCATTTGATAATTATTAGACCATATAGTTAGTAGAATTATTGGAGTTTAGACCAAATGGAAATAATACCAAATGACTAGTAGCCCAACACCAAATGATTAGTAAATAAAAGTATTATTAGACCATGTGGATAGTAGACGGGCTGGGTGTAGACCATATGGGAATAGACCGATTGGTAGCAGACAAACTGATTGTAGACCAAATGGCAATGAACCTTGTGGAGCTCATATATTATAATTTAACATTTCTGCGCACTTCCGAAGAACTTTGGATATTATTACCCCGTCACACGAGGGACATTTTCTGTTAAAAGTGGAGACTATTAATAGCACTGTGTGAATGGTATGTGCAAGTGCGTCTAACTCTTGCATGTACATTCACCTTATTGCAGTGTGTATGAGTTCTTAATTGGGTACTCACACTGTAGATCAAAGCTTTAGATTTGTAGTGAAATGTAAAATCATCATCTTTCCATATATTTGACTAGAAAGGATCATGTAACACATGCATGTACATGTAAAGTGTATATGTGTTACCCATCTTAACCAGGTTTTTTTTTGTCTCAAGGAATTAGGAAATTAAAGAAAATTTGAATAAGTTAAAATACAAATATTGCCAATTTTAATGAGGAATAGGTGATTCATTCATCCTTAAAGATGAAGTTGAGTTCTGGTCATGCGATTGCATTGTGAAAGAAACAGTGTGGAACCGAAAAAGGTTGATCATCTAGCATATAAGAATTTGTGTGTATTGCAAGGTTCTGGAATCATCAAAATGATAAGAAATTTGGCCAAGTCTTGGTAAAGTTACAAACATTGTACAGGGAAAGATGTATATGGGACTACACGAACACGTGGCGTAAAAAGCCGGCCCCCCCCGATTTTTACGATGTTACATGCATATTTAGAAAATGAAGGCATCTGAAGAGCCATGCTTTTCAGGGAACATGTCTTAACTGATGTTCTTCCACACTTGCATAATAAGAATGAGTAATGTTCACAAATTATTTGTCACCTCTTCCCAGAACTCAACCTTCTCTTTAATAGTAAACCCTTTTCCTGGACTGGGTTAATAATAGTGAATGGATCTCATGAAAACAGCAAAAAGAGGTGCTCCACGTGGGTATGACAGCGACATAGGAAACTGATACGCCTCTAGACGTTACTAAAAATAGTTCTCATGACTTCTATATGCTCTCAAGATCCTCCTAAAAGGATACTATTTAATTCTTTGGATAACGAGACGCCTAGATACTATTTCTGATCGTGCCTCTGTCTAAGGTTTCACGGCAAATCATCAAGGACTCTGACGAGACTGTCAGTTACTTTTGTTTACATTGACAAGGCCAGTCAAGACGCGTAAGGTGATACACGAGCATTTGCCAGTTCTCATGGTTTTCCTAAATTGTCGATCCTCGATTTTCATGAGCCACTTGGGTTTTGTTGGTGTGTGCATGTAAAGGAAGATGAGGGTTTTGAATGGATGGATGGATGGCAGGTGGGGGAGAAGAAGAGGCATGATGTTCTCAAGTTACCGGTATTACTCATCCCAGCGAACTGCACATACATGAATGTGATGCAGTCGGACTGTAACGTGACTCAAGGGTTACTGTCCATGTCTCGCTTGCATCCAGCCAGACATAGACCTGTGTAGATTGGTTTATGAGAGAAAAGTAACCTTCGACAAGGAAATCTTACCAACCATCTTAGTATGAAGGAAAATAATTATACAAAGGTTATATACAGTTCACAACTGAATTATTCATACCCGGCCGTACCAAGTTCTGTGATTTCTTTAGTATGTGAAGTCGGAGTCAGAAGAAAAGAATTGCAGCTTATAGGAATTTCACATTCCTTTTTTTTTTCTTCCTGGCAACTTCAAGAGGTGCAGCAGGGGAAGCCAATTTTATTCTTTCATACTTTGTTTCCTATGTGCCATTCTATTGTACCTTCTATTGTATGTTTGAAATGCCAAATAAATGATTATAATAAATAATTTAAAAAGTTGATTGGTCCTGATTTAGGATTCTTGAGAATGTGACATATTATAGCTTTATACATATAAAAGAATTCTACAAGGGCCCTATTTCAACCAGTCCATCTTCTATTCTTGATTTACGAAAAGCATAAAAATATCAAATTTAAAAGGGATATGAATAATTATTTAAGCTGTATAACTGTATATAATATTAAAGGTAATACAAAGTTTTGGTATGGGGTCATGAATTTGGTTCAAATGAACATATTGGAAGCATACCCGGTATGCGATCCTTCAATATTCAGTGATCGTTGTCGCGGTTGAAATCGAGTTTAAAGTTATGAAATTGTAAATAATACACTCTTTTTGTTGTATAGCTCCCTCTCAAGGTCAAGATATTAATTAAGCTATAACACAATGTTTCTTGACTAAAATCAACCAATTTGCTATTCTTGTTTGGAAGTTATATTTCACATCTACATATTCTGAGAATTTCATGGCCGCAGCTACCATTGTACGGCCGTAGGCGCTTTTTGTAATAGCGTAATATGACATGTTTATTTAACTTTCTTCTTGGAATGGAAGCTATGTGAGTTTTGTTGATATAATTGGTGTGCATATTTATAGTCGTGGTTGTTGATATAATCAGCCGAATAATGTGAAATCTTTAGAATCAGATGAAGAACGAACAAAAGAGAGATAACAAATTCTTTATTTTACGATAAAGGATAAGAAACATCGTTAATTCTTCTTCTATACTGTGTACATGTTGATGCCTTCCACCATGAAACCATCCAAGTGGATGCATTTGTTTGTATTATGCTGTCAGAGATCATGGCTGCTGTTTACTCATGTACAAAAGGGAGAGCTCAATCTAAACAGTCTATCCTCATGTCATTCAGTGCATGTCCATTCAGTTTCATTCTCTGATGGAAAACAGGGACTTACATGTACAACTCTAAGACGCTACCCCACCAGTAAAAGTTCAACTATACAGAGCATGCTTCAAGAAAGCTGTTCTTAATTAAGTAAAATGGATGAAAAACTTGAATAAAATTTGTCATTCACCTTTAATATGCAACATTTACAAGTAATCTTGACTTTTAATATGGTATATAGAGAAGAGGATTCTAATGGTATCAAACAACACTGAAACTGAGTACCAAAGATATTAAATGTGCCAACAAGTTTGATAGAAAATGTCATTGGCCGAGTTATGAGCACAAAAATGTAAGGTAATAAAGCTTGTAATCACTACCTACAGAGTGTGACTCATGAGTCATGATTACTACTGCTCCTCATCAGTAGGTGTGTATAGGGTGAGTCAAAAAAAAATTACACCTAGAAAATTGCTAATTATTTTTAAAATCATCTATGGACAGTAAACTATTATACATCTTATGAAAGAGTGTTTTATCCCAAATCGTTTGGTATCATTTTTGTGTGGTATGTGTTTACGCTTGGATGAACAGGAGGCATTGTTTGCGAGAGTGCAAAATCGAATTTTCTAGGTGTAAACTTTTTTTTGACTCACACTGTATAGGGGAAATCAAGAATACATGAATATCTCATGTTTCATTTTCTTTGACTCTACTACCAGGTGCAACTGTTGAAGACGTCCCACCAGCAGGAGCTCGGTAGAATCATCAATGACCTGGAAGATGAAGCAAGCTCTAGGAATCACATGGATAAGAGGCTCGGTGCTCTACGTAAAGAGGTACGGTACTCTTAAAGAAATACAGTCAAACCTGCTCTAGTGACCACCTTTATAGAAAGACCACCTGTCTACAAAGACCACATTTTTTGTTTTCCTTGACAATGGTTTCTCATTGAAAAACGTACTAAAGGAACCTGTACATCAAGACAACCTGCCCATAAAGACCACTTTTCTTGTCTCCCTTGGGTGGTCTTTATAGACAGGTTTCACTGTACAAGGGATGTGTATGACAAGCTGTGATTTTGAAGTTTTTATTATGGAAGGGGGTGATGGTGGTTCAGCCCCACTGTTAACATTTGACCAAAGTGGACTGCTATGGCTGCAGTATGGTGTGGTGTTTTTTAACCTAGGAAAAAGAGAAAATGGGGGTAGCACTACTATTATAAGATGAACATCCTTAGAAGCTTAATTATGGTAGTTTAAATGAACACTGATCAAGGCCCTGTTTCATAAAATGTCTTATCACTAACAAGATATGGTAATTGTTATAAGCTACTAGAATCCTTGCATTTGATTGACTGTGAGCAGATTTGTCATAGATCTTTGGCAGTTTTCATTGATTAAAAAGCTTTATGAAACGGAGCCCAGAACTCGGATGAGTACGGTAAAGTGAGATAGTATGGAACCATAAATACAAGTGTCAAACATCAAGGAAAAAAAGATCATAGAATAGTCGAGTGTTAAGACTGTCATGTGTAAAAACCCTAACAAAGTAACAGGTAAGAGATGTAGACAGTGATTTTAGAACGGAGGAATGCGGTTGCATGCCCTATATTAAATCTGCAAAAGTGTAGCTTTGCTCTATGGCTAATTGTTTTCTGCTTTATGTCATTACCTTGGATGGCTTAGGAGTGAGAATATTATAAAATACCTTACTTCTTTAAAAAAAAACTTCATATCAGGTGGCTATAATTCCAAGATTTGATAATTTCCCAGAGTCAGGGTAAGGCTGGATTGCCAAGAGGAGCATCATTGCATGAGTCTCATTGTTAATGACCCTCTTTCCACCATGGTGTATTGCCATTCTCTCTGGGTTAAACCAACTACAAACTGACATCCCAGAGTTGTTTTTCATTCCCTTCCTTAATAGCTGGAGAGGCTCCAGGCTGAGAATGCAGCGGAATGGGGGAAGAGGGAGCGGCTGGAGACTGAGAAGCTGAACCTGGAGCGGGAGAACAAGAAGCAGAGATCTGAGATTGAGGATCTGAGGGAGACCATCTCCATCAGGAGCAAACAGACGACCCTTGAGATGGAGAATACCATCAAGAACACCCAGGAGGATCTCAAGGCCAAGACTGCGGTAAGGAAGGGTGCCAGGAGACCGGTGGAGCCGGTGAAACATACCCCACCTGTAGTTGGTTTGCAGGCTAAAAACATTATCGGTCCTAATGCCACACTTCCAAATCGCAGCACAAGCTAAATTTGACTTTTAAAAACAATAGCAAAATAAAATAAGAATTTTGAAAAATATTCTGGATAATTTGGAAGTGTGGCATTAGGACTGACAATGTTTTTAGCCTGCAAACCAACTACAGATACGTAGTGTTTCACAAAAACTAAGATCAACTTTAAGTTGGACTATGGCAGGCCTTTCATGCCACTGGTTGCTCTCATCACTGGTCTCTCAATTATGATATTTAGATAATATTTTTTCCTTCAATAATGAACTATCAAAAAAGGTAAATTCTGTAGATTTGTGACCACGATTCGTACGTCCCTTGAGAAACAAATTCCAGGAATGGTTAGAGTAACTAGTGGCAGTCCCCTCTGGCGCTAATGTCCTTTGGCAAGACATTAATCTACATTCGCCACGCTCCAACTAGGTGTTTAATGGGTACCAGTAAAAAGGAATTCTGTTAATGATGTGAGCACCAAAATCAGTAGCCTAGCAGGGCTGTGGTAATATGGGAGTGCCTTGAGCACCTTGCATGTGGGATATGTGGGCTATATAAAATATCCAAGATTATTATAAATCATACTTTATGTTTTCTGCCGCCATCATTTACAGTAAAGGTCCGCCAATTACATTATATTAGGAGACAATTAAGATAAGCATGAGAATAGAGGGCAATCATGTTTCAAAAAGAGACATGATTTGTGCTCAGGTTCTGCAAATCTGCATTTCTGTATCCTCTTTCTCCTAAACCCAGGCCTGTTAAATAGGAGCTGGGAAAGGAAATCCAATCAATCCAAACACAAACTTGTGCTAATTTGATTGTCTCACTTAACCTTGGGCTGAAATCTGCAGCTGCGTTGCCAAGTTAATAACTAGGAAATAATAGAGATTACATCTTAATTACCACCCACGTGGTTATAGCACACAATCAGCTGTTGTTTGATTCTTGTCTGTCATGTGATCAGGGTATTCTACAATGCAGAGATTTTACATTCTTTTTTTTCAAGATTTTATAGTTTAGGAAACAGAAGAAGAGCCCTGTGGATAGATGAGTGATCCTGAGAATGGGAGGTTTGCGGTTCAGAACCATGTCTGTGCCCTAGTACCCTGGTGTACTAGTTAATCCTCATTTACCTTGCTCCACAATTGAACATCCAGTTTTCTCTTTGCTTTGTATAGACTATATATCCTTTACATTGATATCCTGATCCAAATAACTTTATGAAGACCCTGGTCAATTGATAATGATTTAATCACCCTAAACTTCAACAATATCTAGATTAATAACTCTATAAAGAGTTTCCTTGTATTGCCACTATGCATTTAAATATAGACAAAAAATCTCTCTCAAATTCTTCCAAATGTCTAAGTATTAATACAGCATTATCATCATTTGTAAAGCTTTAAAAGGGGATAGAAATAAGAACACTCGTTTTTCCAATTTAAAAATGAAGCTCTGATAAAAATAATTTTTAAAAGTTGGCATGAGAATGTCAGAATGCTTAAGAAGACATTCCTGTACTGCAGACTCATGGAAAAGGACTTGGATAATTAAGGGGTTTCCATGAAGTGAACCAGATCTGTAGTGTCCAGAATTTGTGCGTAACTTAGGGGCGTAGTTGTGTTGTAACATGAATGTTCCCAAGTGAGGAAAGTCTAGGAAACAGACCACAGACTAAATCAGTAGTGTCCAGAAAGTGCGCTTTATCATGTAGGGGCGTAGTTGTGTTGTAACATGAATGTTCCCAAGTGAGGAAAGGTCTCGGAAACAAACCGCAGACTGAATTAATCGCCCACAGGTGTAGACTTGGTTTCCAGGATACCATACCTACGATTGGGTGTTTCCCCTCTGCGATGCGATTAGGTTTGAAGAGCAAAGACTGCTGTGTCATGGTATATTTAGACAGGCTTCGTGACTCTTGGAAACCTAGATATTCAGATAGGTAGCCTGAAAGGATCAACATGTACTTCTTTGTAGATGAAGCTGAGTGGAAATGAGTCTGAAGTATAGAGTCAATACACAATCTCTCAACCTCTAACTGAGAGGGAGAGTTATGCGCTCAGTCCAAAGTCATTCCTACACTTTATATCTATTTTTGTGGGGGGGGGGGGGGGGGGGACTCATTTCAAGCCAAAAAAATAATATCCTTTTGTGTCAAATAGAAAATACCCAGATTAGAAGATATCTTTTCTGAAATATTAACGTTTGGCCCCCTTCTCATGGTATGCATACAGTGATTCTTTGGACCAACCATCACAGTCGAACCCTGTCATAGATAAAGGCAATTTCTTAATCCAATTGTGTCAAACACAAGATTAAAATTGCAGCACTTTTGTCTCCTTTGGCACTGATAGAGCTCTCAGATCTGGTACTAGATGAGAGAGCCCATGAAACCCAGAGTAATGTAAAGCTTTAAAAATGCTGTCTTAGGAAAGAAGATGGTGCACATGATGTATTTATGTGACCTTCTGTCAGTGTATTGCTTGGCACTACAACATGTAGTCACTGCTGTGAAGCTCTTTGACTCTGTGTGATTGTTAGGTCTGACACAGAAGTCATGATTAAGTTTCATTCCGCTGTTCATGGCAATGTTACATCTTGTCTAGAGCAGCTGCTTAACCTAAATCAGAAACACTTACTACTCTGTAATTACTGGTAATCAACCATGTGTTCAAAGATCATTATACATCAATCATATATTGTGATATACTAGGTGGGTGGTCTGGATATGAATCTTTTAGAGTTATTTCACATTCTGTCAAAAGGTTTTCCTTTTAAGGAAATAAAAGTGGATTTAAGTTTACAGTTGGGGCTATATATTCATGTTAAAGGAATATCATTTTGGAGTAATAAGAACGATAATAATATTCCGCTTTTATAAAGCACCCAATACATTGATACAACGATGTGCCTAAGCGCTTTACAGATATTTGATTACCCCGGCATCGGAGCAGGGCTTACCCCGGCATCGGAGTAGGGCTTACCCGCACACAATGTATGTGCATTCTCCACTCCCTGGGGAGTATGTAAGAGCATGCAGATGAATAATGCTTGGAGTAGTATTGTTAGAATTAAAGAACATATGGATACTAGTAGAAGATCTGGCAGAATTAAGATAGGGGGAGGAAGGAGTATTAAAAGAGAAGAGAGGGAGGCTTCAACAAAGAGTAGACGTTGAGAAGATATAGGGGCATCCCCTTGCAACCCCCCACCCCAGGGGCAAATGGAAAAAAAGAAGTGTTTGAAGGAGCTGACAGAGCTGAGCAATGATCATTAGATGAAGAGCTATTTTCCTGCATCATGTTCATCAATTTACTGAGAATAAAATACAGTGTAACCTGTCTATAAAGACTACCCAAGGGAGACAAGAAAAGCGGCCTTTAAGGCAGGTGTTCTTTATGAACAGGGTCCTATAGTACATGTTTCAAAGAGAAACATTTTTCAAGGGAAACAAAAAATGTGGTCTTTGTAGACAGGTGATCACCAAAGCAGGTTAGACTGTACATGCAAAATGTTATACCTTGTTTCAACAATAGCTAAGAAAGGTTTCATACTTTGTTCTTTGTAGGAGTTGACAGAATTGAAGCACAACCATAACAAGATGAAGAAGCAGCTGACAGACAAGCTTGCTGAGCTGGACCATACCACCACCAGGTGTCAACAACATGAAGAAGACGTCAAGAAACTCAGAGTCAGGGTGGATGAACTTAAAAGAGATTTAGCAAGGAGAGAGGATGAGGTAAGATGTTGAAAGGTTTTAGGAAATTCAGACAGGATGGTAATTGTTTGGGTTGTTTGTTTGGTTACAGCTTGAGGATAGTTGTCTTTGAGACACTAGAAATAGGAGAGAATGAACTTAAGACAGATTTGGCAAGGAGAGAGGATAAGGTAAGTCGTCTATGAACACTGCAGCACCTTCAAAATAGAATGATTCTTCTGGTAGCAAAAAGATATCAGAGATGCAATTCACAGGAGGGAAGATGGCTCAATGGTAGAGCAGTGGTCTCCTAACCGGGAGGTCCCTGGCTTGAAACCAAGTTGATGCGCTGGTGCCTTTTGGTAGGGTATTAATCCTCGTTATCAAGACCCTTGGAGAGGATCAAAAGCCGTTGGTCCCTTGGTTGCCTACTTACAAGCATATACATGCTTTCTTAGCAGTCAGGTAAAACAAAATAAACAATTCAGCCAGAATGTATACAAATCCTACTGTACCAAAAGTTCTGTTAGTACCCTGGTTTTTAGGTACTGAAAGTATTCAAAGAATAACTTCCTGTCTATCTTGTCATTGTTTTCCAAATGTCTACAAAATTTATCATGGTTTCAAGATCTATTTTAAAACTAGACACAGATGGATTCTTTGAAAGGGTGCACACCAAATATATCCCATGACCTTTTGAACATTTATTGTTCCATTTCAGCTACTCTAAAGGGAGTCTGCATGTGACATCTTTGTCAATAAATGAGTATTACAATCGGTTCTTGGAGAACAATGATAAGCTTGGCTACAAAGAATGAGAAATTGGTTGGGAAGACTAAACATCAATTGAAATTGCAGACTAATATAATGACCCTTTCTGAGTGTTTGTTTTTGTCTGACTTTTATTCCACCAAAATCCTTTCTTTTTCATTTATATCTATTCTTATTGACCAACTGTTTTTCTCTTTATACTGTCTCTTCTTCTGATTCTGTATACCTCTTTCTACCTGATATTTGTGTCAATATATCATATCTCTCTCTCTCTCTCTCCCTCTCTTTTTCTTTCTCTATCTCTCTGTCTTTCTCTTTCTCTCTATTTCTCTCTCTTTCTCGCATTTCTCTATTTATCTACTGCGCCGTATCCTGTTTTTTCATATAATTCCTTGCAGATGTAAACATATAAATCTCCATATATTTAAATACTTATGTCACTTTCATTACAACTCTCCTTATTTTTGTCTTTCTCTTTTATCTTGTCTTTCTCATGATGCTCAGGTGGATGAGAGGATTAACTTTGTGAAGAAGCTTCAGAGGAACCTAGATGAGACCTTACAGCAGAATGAGAACCTAACCCTTCAAATAGACCATCTACAAAACAGGTGAGAAAACTCAACATGTCATACCATTTCTTTTATTTGGAAACTCGGGAAAAGTCTCACGAAAAGTGTTATTACCGGTATTGATACTTAATTTGATATCATGCTGTTGATAACATAGTTTCTAGATTTTAGACTAGTATCATATCACACTGTATTATCAACCAAGATGATAAAAGGAAAAGAATAGGTGTGTCCTTGTAATTGAATTAAAAGGCCATGACCTACCTAGCAACACTTAATATACGCAATTTGCATTCTGACTATTGAAATACTTATTCTTATTAGGTGAATGAAATAATTTGTATTGAGGCACCTCATAAAGACTTATGTTTATTAAATTTGGTTACATTACGAAAATTGCCTGTTGAATAAGCCACTTCAGAGAAAGCACTTCACTTGTACAAATGACCCCCAAATATCCACAGATCTTTCACTCATGAATACTGTACCTTTTGTTTGCCCTCTTGAAAAGAATACCATGACTTGTTTATCATACAATGCACCACTGATGCATAAAGGAAGAATGGTTACATAACTTTCATGAGAATCCAGTATTTGTATTTATCTGCCCATGCACAGATAGTTTCTTTGAATGGCTTTATATGGAATTGGTAATTTTGTGTGTAGGTGTGTGTGTGTTGCATTAGGTTACCTTATATGACCAAACCTCTGCAGTTAGTTGACCTTTTTTTCATTTTTTAATGCAATCTGCAGGCTTGATGGAAATCATGTCTTAAATTTCTAACAAATAGATAGAAAGTCTTATTTATAAAAAAAAAATCATCAAACTCATCAACATTTGTCTTCCCTGCCAGCACATGAGGGCGCCAGTCATGTCTTTAGTTTGTCATAATTTGATTTTTATACCCCACCGTATGCTTCTCTTATTAGGCAGCTCCTGTGCTTTCTTTGTTACTCATACACCTTTTCCATACCTACCTGCGAGTAACATTTTATGTTTTATTTCATTGGAAATTGATTAAACATAGAGAATTTTCATGACACCTTTGTGAAATCTGTGAATGGACTTTATTGATATGGTCACAAACAATTTCACGGTAGTAACAATAATTGCACATTTTAATAGATAATGTGCTTGTATATTGCACTTCAGGATAATGGATGACTGTGTTTTATTCAAAGTTGTTTGTTGTATTTATTCATTCAGTTTAATAATAATAATTTGTATCTTTGTTTTATGTATTCATTTCTTTCTTCTCTTAGACTACGTACTCAGACTTCAAACGTTGGGATTGCTAAGAAAAGAATGTCAACTCTCAAAATGGCTGCCAGTAAAAGTGATCAGGACTCCTGTTCAGACTGATCAGGATCTGGAATCTGCTTCATCAAACTGGAGGCTTCTTGGCTAAGAATCGTGACTTTAAAGAGAGTGTAGCTTGGCAAATAATAGTTAACACCATCTACGACTTCTTTTGGACTTCCGCACGTAAACGAATGGACTTGATTAACGGTAGTCAGCGACTTAATCTCTACATGGTCAGTGTACGCGAAACAGACCGCAGTTCTCCTCACCCTTCGGTTTCGAGTATGTTGCACGTACGTGATTGCTGCGGTCGCGTCGTCCATAGTCGTATTATACCCAGTTAGCCCAGAGACAGGATACAGGAAAAACACATAGCCTCGTCATGCTACACTCCCTTTAATCCCCAAGATGACTGGAACAAGTAATAATGACTCCTATTCAGACTGATCAGAAACAGGAACCTGAACAGTATATGTGTTCATACTGGGGCCTGCTTATTCATCCCGACCCTTAAAATTACTGGTAGTAGTGACTACAATTCTATGACTCTATAAACACATTCTCCACTATCATATTTCCACCAACAATTTCCGTCGTGTAGACCAAAACTAATTCCAATTCCACATTCCTCTTGATTCCAAGATATTTTTTCCATGTCACAGTTTTCATTCGTATCGGTTCTTAGGAGTATGTTGCAAGGACTATCTATTGAGATAAGGTTTCATCAAATCAATGGTGGAAGATTATCGGTCTGGATATGTTCTACAACAGCAGCTATTTTGTTTAAGTTTCATTTGTGCAAAAGTTGAAGGTGCTTTGTAGATCTGCGAACGGAGAAAAAAATAGTTCTCCCTTTTGTTGCTTTCTGGGCATGTATCTGCCATATATACCATAAAGGGAAGGTTAAAAAATATATGGATTTTGGATTGTGAATACAACAGTCATGAATTGATGGAGTACAACTCTTATTCTACTTGTAGAATTGATATGGAATGCCTTTAAGAAGTCCACTCTGCATTTTATTTAAAAACAAATGAGTAGCACAATTCTAGGTATCACATTAAAATTACGTATTTTATGTTTCATTCATTCATTCTATAGCAATTATTCTTGTTATGCTCAAAATGTGAACTATGTAAAAGAAAAATATTCAGATATGCATTCTTAATATTTTCACCTTAAATGTACCTTTGAATGAATGACGTCAAGTTTTAGGCGGTCAGGATGCAATTTAAAGGATCTATAATTCATTAACCAATTATTAAGTAGGATACAAGTGGGAAAGTGAACCATTAACAAGATTTTCACTTATTAACGAGACATCTCCTACTTTTAAACCGAGTACTTAAAGACATCAATCATTTCATCTAAATACTCAAGAATTTATCCCTTAGATTTATTCATTTGTGTGAATACATATGGTCGATGATGAAACTTTTGGGGAAATTTTGTATACATCACTAAAATATGTTTAAAAATTATCTACGATGTAGAGTGGAATCTTGTAATTGAACATTCCTTGGTATTAGAAAATGATCATTTCTTATTAGAAAATCTTGGTATATCAGGTCTATAAAATAAAAAAACAGCCCCCAAACAGCTGGACCAGTAAAATTACCTTGTAATAAATTTAGTGTAAACAGTGTTGTTTAATGGAAGTTTTCTTAGCCGGAAATGTATATTTTTCTCCATAAATCATGCCAAAATCTGCCAAAATATTGTAATATATATATGCCATCATGATCAAAGTATAATGTCTGTAGAGAACTAGAAGGTCATTATCTCTGTAATGCTCTTTTGGCTCCAAACAGTTGATATGATGGAATTTGTATTTTTCTGCAAGCACACCTTTAAAAAAAAGAATAAAGAGGTTTAATGACACTGTATTCAGCTATCCACTGTCTTAAGGGGTTGGAATTTTATGTACATATAACTGATAAAGAAATGCAAGGAATTGATATGTTATTGTCTTGTGAGTTGTGAATGTGTGTACATGTATTTATAGCTGTGAAGGATTGAATGTGGAGACTGAGAAGACATGAAATATAGTAGTTTTCTTGACAGAAATATAATACTAGTTTTCTTGACAGAAATATAATACTAGTTTTCTTGACAGAAATATGATACTAATTTTCTTGACAGAAATATATAACAGCTGACATATTGTATAATAAAATATCAGATTAACACATGCATAGGATATATGTATGGTTAGTTGTAAAGTTAAAGGAGAAAGTCATCTAGTTTTGTGACAGATTGTCAATATATTGTACAGTTATGAGACATATAAGAGTCTGTCTGTTTGTCTGTCCAGTGTCTCTCTGTCTCTCCTTGTCTGTCCCTTTCCTATATTTCCTTCATTTTTAATCCCAACTGTTCTTCTTTGTCACATTACACCAAAGTCTCACATATTGCATATTTACATCTCATATTTACATTTTGAAATAGATTTTCATTTTTTTTCCTCTCGTCTTTCGAAGCATGTCAACTTTGTTGATATGCTCTGTATCTAGATTCAAGTCTTCTTGCTTTTCATGATTATATAAAAGTAACATTATTGTTTATCTATTTATTTATTTAACCTAACAACATTTGTGTATAGATTAAATTTCTGTATTCCACCAATGATGAATTCATTATTATTTATTCTGCTTTTACGTTCATGATAGAGTATAGGAAAGGAGGTCTTCTAGCATGCATGTATATGGTGATGTAGAATGGTTGGTTATGCCTGGTGTCCCATGGACCCTTTGTACAGCCTGTTGGCACTATGGCTATATGGTAGTCCAGCAGTCTGTCTTACTCCAAATCAGACAGAACATTAGACTTCCATGAGAAATACAATGTAGTATGTATCCAATGCTTATTAATTTGAAATATAATAGAAATGCTACAATTTTATTTTTATGCCTCTGCGATGATGCCAGAGACATTATTTTTCTTACAATCTTTTTTTTGTTAAGGACATTCTAGATCATTCTGTCATTAAGTAAGTACATGCAAATATGATTATTATTTAACATTTTTGTTATTATTTCTTACTTGAGTTTTGATCGAGTAAAAATAAGTGTATTTAAGCTAAATCAAACATTATGTGTGTCCAATCTGTACCTTGAAAACAATGTATTCTCTCTTACCCACCTTGACTGTTCTCTGTGTGATAGGACAGAATTGTTTCATTTATTTGTTAATACCAGGGCTGTGATCATGTGTAATTTGAAATCTGAAAGGCCTTTATTTAGATCCTACAGTCTTTAATCATCTCACAAGTTTATTAGTGACTCGTTATTTTTAATGAGTTTGACATTAAACCCTTTGTTGTGTTTAACTTCATTTTGTAGGAGAAAGTCCTGCTAGTGTCCGAAAGCATTTGTGAACAAAAAAGAAACAACGACTGGAAAGAAATCGGGCATTTAACTTAATAGGAGAGATCTTTTCTGTATTGTTTTGATTAAAAGTGTTTTATAATCTTTAAAATTTACAACATTTAGGGGTTTATTTATTATTGGAGATCATGGCATGTACAGTATTCCCTATTTCCTAATGCAATCGAAGCAGATGTATTCTCTCTTTTTCCTTTTATTCTGCAGCTCTCCGAGCAAAATTGATCAAGAATAATGGGCCATTAAATTTAACAGGAGACATGGGGAGGCATAAACATAACTTGTATGAAAGATGGAAAGATGATTTATGTGTCTGGTATTACAATGCCCTCCCTGTGCTGTACACACTGATATGATAATGGTATCATGTTCAACCATAATAAATGAGATCGCATAAAACCAACTATGTGCATCCATATTCATTTGTTTGGCGTTACTGATTCTCTCTCTCTCTCTTCCCCTCTCTTTTCCTCCCCCTCTCTCAGCCTCTCTTTCTTTCTCCACAACTCTGACTTTCCAGCCCTCTTAGTCTTTCTTCCCCTCTCTCCCCTTCTTTCTCTCTCTCACTCTCTCCCTCTCTCACTCTCTCCCTCTCTCTCTCCCTTCGCCTCTATCAGTCCCTCTTTCTCCACAAAACTTCTGCAAGACTACATCTTCCCATCTCTCTCCCTGAATTCATTTGTCTGGCATCACCAACAGCCCCCCCCCCCCCTCACTCTCAGCCTCCTCTCTTTTTCTTCTATATTTCTCTCGCTCTTTATCTTCTCAACCCCATTTTGTCCCCCCCCCCTCCCCCTCTCGTACATATATGTATTTTATAGCTATTTCATAGTCATATTAAACGTTTTCCTCAAGCATTTGAGCTCCCGACACAAACGATCGTCATTGTAATGTAAAATGAGATAATATATAAAAAGAATACAATGCAATTATCTCTCTTTGTATATCATGATTTATTTTCATATCCTTTCTGTAATACATGTACATCACTTTTTTCTACCCAATGTTAAAAGGACTGCATAAACAGGTAGCGACATCACACAAAATTGAAAAATCACAGAATAAAAAGGTGTTTGCCGCTTAAATGTTTGGACAAACATCATCAAACAAGACAATCAAAATAATAAATAACATAATTTACTGTACAAGATAATTATTGTAAGCAATAAAAGGGAATAAAATTAAATCCACTTTATAAGGCTCATTGCATGCTAGAGATTTCACAAGCACCAGTGGATTAACGAGATAACGAAACTCACTGAGAAATTATTCTGAACTTCAGAACAAAGAATTTGGAATTAGATCAAACAGATAATATTCATATATTGATGAACATCGTAGAAAATACATCATAGAAATAATGACTCTAGTCGCTTGTAGAAGATGTGCAGAATTTTAAATATAAAAAAGATGTTTCTGAAGAAATATTTCATGAATTTCGCTCTATTTAAACTTCCAACGTTTGAGATGATCGGCATTACAAACAACAAACAAGGCAGGAAAAATATCTTTCAACTGAACCTGCAACATATACTGCTATCTGGACAGAACCAGGCCATTTCTGGTCCATGTCATGGTCATGATGTTTGTAAAAAAAGAAGATAAATTATGTGTTCAAGTTTCAGAGGACTTTGTGCCTTTCAGAAACGAACTTCCCGAACTGTATACATGAACTTACTTGAAGTAGCTGGGAAACATAATCTCAAGCCACTTTGCTACACATACATTTGTAATTTTGGACACCTCTTTTAGTCCTGGATCAACACTAATTTAAAAAAGATATGGATCCAAACAGGTCTTACATTTTCATCTAGATACATCTACAACTTTAACAAATTTCTTGCAATTAAAGAAGATCAGATAACTTTCTTTGAACTCTGTTGATGTGCAGCTGCACTTTGAGATGAAATGAAATTTTTAAAAGAAATACAAAAAGTCCCATGTTTGATATAAAAGCTCTTGTAACTCCTTAATACATCCTTTCTGTTTTTCAGCATTGTATGACATAGCTCACGACTATATTTCCTTTTTCAATTTATCTTGACAATATGCTGGGAGAAAATATATTACTTGACTGCATGCACATAGCTTACATATTGCTTTGCTACGGTTTTTGTAACATAACTCCCCCCCCCCCCCATGAGAATTTCTCATTCAAAGATTACCAATCATTGCACTGCACATACCAATTAAAAAAATATGTGTTTCAAACCCAAGCTACAACTAGAAACATGAAGCAAATGCAAAAAGAAGCAAAAGGGGCATTAGCTTTCCTTTTTTTTTAAACACAATGTTAATGCCCCTTTTTTGCTCCAAGCAGACAAACACGATAACTAGAATAATGACCACACAAACCACACAAATGAAATGCAGTCTGTATAGAAACAAAAACACACATCAAGTACTGTAATAAGCATTCAAATCAGTTAAATAAGGAAGATATTTCTTTTTTTTCTTTTACAACAAACTGTTCATGATATCACTTGCAGTATAGACCTGTTTACTAATCTGTTCAATTTCTGGTTCAGTGTTTTTAACAAGAAACCTTGGTGATAAGCTTTTCAAATCACATGTTACATATGCATATGTATGCATGGAATAAACCTTGCATACATTCCATGTTGCTATGTAGGACAAGCCTCTTGCAAATTTTTGGGTTGTAATAAGAAACTTTTGTTCAAGAAATATGCATGAAATTTCAATACATTAGTACACAAGTCTATTACAATGGCATCAAAGAACTATGTGTCTTTAAACCAGACCCTTTTGTACATGTAATACTTCAACTTGCGTCATTTGAAAAAAACACTTGACAATGTTATTGTATTTAAAAATGGTATTGTCTGACGACAAAGGTACGAAATGTGTCTTTTTTGGGCCTCTTTGCTGTAAATAAAATAGTTACATGCAAAAAACCTGATTTGAAAATGTGTTAATAATAATGATATAGATACTATACATATAGCTCACACAATGATCGACTGTAAGGTAACAATTTACAATCAAATAAATACAAGTTCAAGATCTTTCAAATTTTTTCAAATTTCTGAAGAAGAAGAAAAAGAAAAGAAGCACTAGCCCTGTCCAAACCTGAGCAAGCCTTTAAACAATAATATAGGACTAGCTTCTACATGTAGCATATCAGGGGGGTGTTTCACAAAGATTCTAAGTCGAAATTAACTCTAAGTTGGACTT